CACGTAGGCCAGCCAACCCCAACTCCTCTCTATATGTCCGTGTGCGTTAGAGTTGTAGCTTTCCGACTCGTTTTAGCCCTCCTTATGATGACCCAAACAGTTTTGGGGAGAAAACAGGTGTTTTGTCATTGATCGCAAGGGTACAAAGGATGCAGTCAGTACCGGCAGACTGAAAGCTGTTTGTGCTGACGGTTCTGCCCATTCTCCTTCCACAATCCATGTTGCAACTTCATCCAAAGCCATCCCACAGCTCCCAAGAGTACGCAGCCCAACTTTGAGCAGCATGGAGTATCCGCACCTAAGCCACATACACGTTGGACACACTGTAAAACCTCCCGCGTGTTTGGCAGATTATATCGCCAATTCAAACCTTGGTTGAACATTTTCCGGTGTTACGGCATTCCTGAGAGAAATGAAAATTCTGCGCTACTTACAAATCCGTGTTTCCTCCTATTGTTCAAACAAATACACCAGAGAATATTCTGATTTACAAGCCTTTGGGTACTCACAGATTTCTTCGAGTATGGTGCACAACATATCCAAACTATCACTGCTTACTCCAAGTATTCAGATCCTAGTTATCGCTGACTTGCGCAATTTTTGACGCAATTCAAGAGGAAATACTTGTATCGTATTAGGATAAAATAACTCGAAGACCGGTGGAATAAATTAAAACGGGATTATTTTGATTTTTATAAGCAGAAAAAACAAATGCGTGTCAGTTAATTCCCAAAATAGAGGATGTGGTTCAAATTTCACTCCAAACATCGAAGAAGACGGGTTTTTTGACCACACAATAGTAAGTGGAGTAAATATCAAAGTTACTAATTTATTGGAAAATTTCATAGCTTTTCGATAAAATTCCTATCCCAAAAATGTTATCACTAAAAATGAGTAAATTGGTGACTCAAGTCATCGGGTTTCACATGCGTTGGAGCTCAGTCTGATCGCTCTGCCTCGGGGCGCAATGGGAGTTTAGGCGCAAAACTATTTAAATTTAGTCATTTTTAGAGTAAAATGCTCAAAAGTAAAAGGTGAATCGCTAACAGCAATTCCACTTTTCCCCCTTTTTACTAACCATCGCATTTGGCCTCTAAGTATGAAACCCAACCCAACCCTTGTCACATGGACCCCTATAAACTATGCTTGATTAATAATTGATAGGACTGCTCATTTTTCATTTTAATTGCTATTTGTAAAGTAATATATGTTTACTTCACCGCACGTTTCCAAGTCCTGAACAGTTGCATTACCCCCTTGACTCCTTCAATATGGTTTCCTCCTCAAGAAAATACTAATTTTGATTCCTCACATCACCTGCTCACTTTTATGCAAGTTCGGTTTTACTGTGAATCCTGCCTTATACGATTCAATTTCATCGGTAAAAGAGTTTGAAACCGGAGAAGGAGCATTGGAAACCAAGATTCAAGTGGTTACTGTTGGACAAAATCTACTAAATATGACAAATCGCTTAATATTGAACTCCTAAAAGGGAGTCGT